GTCGCTGGGGTATATTAGTAACAATAGCCAAAATGCATTGTATGGGTCAAAATGATTGATTTTTCTTTTATGCCAAAACTCATTAGGATGATCATTGTGCATTGTGTCCCATGAAGATATTTTGTACATTTCCTACCGTAAATATATAAAAACTTAATTAGTAATATGCGAAAGCTTATTTATTCAGCATGCATAAATCTCAATTTCAAAAAATTTACCCTTATGACTGGTTTTGTGGTCCAGGGTCGCATATATTCTTTCAAAATTGCCATTGTCGCAGTAATATCATTGATTTCACAGCACTGATACTATTGGATGAGAACAAAACTGAATCAAATTAGTTCACAATTCATGAATTTTGCGACATCGACACTTTGAATTGAACTAATTTGAAACAACACTGAAGTGACTCGAGCTGAAGAACGTCACTACTGTCTTCAGCAGTGTTGGGGTAATGCATTACAAGTAACACCAGTTACTTTGTTTCCCATGTCCTGACTAACAGCTCTCGTGTTGCCATGTTGAGAGAAATCAGGAGTAAGTGCAGAGGCGTTGTGTTCGCTGTGTGAACATGATCTTACTGCAGTTCTATCTAGACTAAATATGAACATGTATTTACTCATCTCACCTGCACAAAAACAGATTCAGTGTTATTCAAAATGAATAGAAACAGTGAAATGCAAACTCAGAATATGACGCAAACCTGCAATAATTAAATATTTTAAATATACTTTATGTATTTAATCCCATTTTATTAAGCAGTGTCTTTGCTGCTGACCTTCGATGATCCAATGCAACCATACTAAGAAGCAAAAATAACTTTAGATAAACATAACATTTGGGTTTCATTTTATTTCTGAAGACTGAGTGTTGAACTTTGTTCTCCTGCGTCATATTCTTCATGCAATTTGTTTGAGCTGCGCCCTCTACTGTACAGACGTGAATTTACATTTTCTTCAGCCTGATGCTTATTTATTTCACTTTTGGTGCGAAAGGGCTTTTACATCTGCCAAAATAGAACTTTATATATTAAAAACAAACAAGCAAGCCCTGCCCAGATTTAAAAAGTAACGCAGAAGTAACGTAACACATTACTTTCCATAAAAGGTAACTAAGTAATGTAATTAGTTACGTCTTTATGGAGTATTGCAATATTATAATGCATTACTTTTAAAAGTAACTTTCCCCAACACTGGTCTTCAGTAGAGTTGCTTATAGCTGAATTTGAACTTGTTTCATACTGAATGAACTTCACACAGTTATTGAACTGAACTGAATCAACACTAAACTGACTAGAGCTAAATAATAGCTTCTACAGATTTTTTTTAGAGCTGTTTTTTGCTTCTGCCTAATTTTTAAGTTTGCATCACTGATTCTGTGACTTTCCTGTTTATAACTGATAGCTGCTTTGAAACAATCCCTGTTGTATAAAGCACTGTAAAAATAAAGGTGACTTGACTGAATTTTGATTCTTAAGCATATTTATCTTGGTTTAAGGCAAGACATTACAGGTGAATATGCTAAAAATATTAACTAATAGATCTTACCATACTTCTTCAGCTGATTAATCACAATACATTAAGACAACTGGGGCCCATTCTTCGTACATCACTTATTACGCGCTAATCAGGATCTGGATAATTCGGTTCTTCGAACGCACCTGTTGTTGGATGATTAGAATGGCTGGATAGAGTTATCTGAGATAATTGCACATTCATGAGTTGGTTTAAAAGGGGCTATATATCGATACTCGAAACCACGATCAGCAATGCAGTGATTGGCTGACGGCAAGACATCAACATAATAACATCATATAATTAAAAAAGACACCTGACGAAAAACTTGACCAATTTTTTGACTTTTATAAAGATACAGCCAAGCGAACAAAACTACATAAATGTTATAATAGATAAATGAAATGTGCACGGTTTTTATTTTATTTTAATTTTTTACATGATTCCCAATTATTTATATTCACGATTTCTAGTATTTGTACAGTCTTTACATTTTTATTTCAATATAGTAATTAGCAATTCATTTAATTTTATCTTTGAAACAGATTTGTTACGTGACAGCATGAACTAACTGTGTCTATAGTATTATTTATTTATTATATTTATTTGAAAAGGGACCATGTACAATTTTAACATAAATGTTTCCATTTCATGATTTTACCGAATTTTGGCAATGGCTAGTTTTCATTCGCGGTCCCTTGGCAGGTAATCAAAATCACAAATAAACATAAAAACAAAACAACAAACACATAAAATACAGTACATCCTATCAGAGCCAAAAAAGAACAGTAAAGACAACGTTCAGTTAAACCACAACCGTGTCAGTGTTTACAGATTTGAGTTGATTTTAAATAAGATTTTAGTTTTAATTTAAACATGTCAATAGATGTGCACATCCTTATGTCTTCTGGTAGAGTGTTCCAATGAATAACAGCTTTCACTGAGAAAGACGATAACTCAAAGGCAGAATGACAACACAATCACTAGTAGATGATGATCTAGTAGATCTTACAGAGACTGTAGAGCGAAAATGCACAAAATCACGAAGTATAGAAGTGCGAAACCATTTACAATTTTATATACCATACACAAATTTGAGAAAAGTCTAAAATTATCAAAGCTAAAAAAAATAGTATTTCTCCAAGACCTTACAGTGGCGATATTGGTTAGGCTTTTTGTCCAGAGTTTTAAAAGTCTGTTTATAAAGAGATTTTGAAGGTTTCTCCTGCTTGACCCCAACTTGTCAGACAGTATGACAGATGAGAAAAGATTGTAGCATGCATAAAAGTCTTGGCTACATCAGTGGGTAGAAACTGTCTAATTTGTCTGAAATTTATCAAGTTATATTTTATAGTCCTCACCAATTTCTTTACATGTTTTTTAAAACTAAGATTTGGATCCAGCGTTAAACCAAGATAATTAAACTCAGTAACAATTTCTATCTTTTCACCATTTATAAAAATATCTGCATTGGAAGAACACACATTCATTTTAGAAAAAAACATCCCTTTTGTTTTACAAGTGTTCAAGGTAAGACATGATTGCTCTAACCACTGTGTAATCCTTTCCATAGCAACATTTAGCTTTTCAGCTGCTAACTCTGCTGTTCTCGCATGTGTAAAAATAACAGTATCGTAATTTTATATACCATACACAAATTTGAGAAAAGTCTAAAATTATCAAAGCTCAAAAAAAGGTATTTCTCGAGAACCCTACAGTGGTGATATTGGTTAGGCTTTTTGTCTAGAGTTTTTAAGGTCTGTTTATAAAGAGATTTTAAAGGTTTAATAACAGTTTCCCCTGCTTGACCCCAACATGTCAGACAGTATGACAGATGAGAAAAGATTGTAGCATGCATAAAAGTCTTGGCTACATCAGTGGGTAGAAACTGTCTAATTTGTCTGAAATTTATCAAGTTATATTTTATAGTCCTCACCAATTTCTTTACGTTTTTTAAAACTGAGATTTGGATCCAGCGTGAAACCAAGATAATTAAACTCAGTAACAATTTCTATCTTTTCACCATTTATAAAAATATCTGCATTGGAAGAACACGCATTCATTTTAGAAAAAAACATCCCTTTTGTTTTACCAGTGTTCAAGGTAAGACATGATTGCTCTAACCACTGTGTAATCCTTTCCATAGCAACATTTAGCTTTTCAGCTGCTAACTCTGCTGTTCTCGCATGTGTAAAAATAACAGTATCGTCAGCATACATTTGCACTTGTATCCCTTTGCACTGCTGTGGGAGATCATTGATGTACAAACTAAATAATAAAGGGCCTAATATTGATCCTTGGGGTACACCCATTGTACAGTTTAAGTTATTGGAATGAAGCCCTTTAATTTTTACACATTGCTGTCTATATATTATATTATAGACTACACAACATTATTATATTATTTTGTAATATAATATATTTAAAATTAATTTTTAAATTATTATCAATTGAAATTACTGTCCCTGGATCAGTAGGGTACTCTTGTAATAAACAGCAGTGACTGGGGCAGATTTTAAGTATCAATTCTGCTCAAAAAGATGCGATCTAATCCTGTTTACATTAAATAAGCCTGCTCCCGAGCAGGTTTAAGCTTACGGACCTGTTGCAATGACAGCAACTCCGGGATGAGCTTCAAAGAACCAACCAATCCAAGATCAAGCGAAATCATCAACAATCAAATCCAGCTAACTGAGTTAGCGATGTACGAAGAACGGGCCCCTGGTTTGTATTACACGTTTTTTAAAATGCAATATTTACATATGCAAATGATACATTATAATATAATTAAATATGCAATAATTTGCATACATTCTCCAGACAGGATTCGGAACACTGGGTGAGTCGGGTTCTAAATTCTTGTTTGATTTTGTTGACATATTAGAGGTAGGCTTTTACAGAGGGGATTTGGATTTTGGACTCTTTTTATCACTCCGTTATTTAGAATATACTGTCAACAGGCATAAAAAAATACATTTCCCGCATCTTATTAGGAATACAATTATTTATATAAATCTTTATATAAATCAGCAATGTTAATGTTACATAAGCAAAATAGCATAAATTCTCAAAATTGACAGTGCATGCATTTTTTTTTGCCTTAAACATGTTTATATATTTTTTACTGGAAAACCAGATTTAAGCACTAATAAAGAAAATGCAGTGTTGTGCGGTGGATTGATGAAGCGATCTCTCTCACCTTCACTGAGCCCAGCATGCCGCCGACAAACAGGTAAGCATTCTGGTCCACATCCAGCACGGTGTAAGTCTCGGGTGATTTGGCACTTCTGAGGGTCGGTAAGATGCCAGTTTTGGGCCCCTCCAGTGCATGGACGGAGATACTGCCGTTCAGCCCGATACTGGACACAACGAAAACATGAGAATAAGACCAACACTTGAGTCGCTGATAACCAGCAATACTAATAAATAGCTACTAATAAACAGCTGTTTTCCCTTTTCAGTCATGATTAATAGAAGGATTGTACTGTACACTGCAAATAGTAATCAATGTTTCCCCCAAAAAACTGTTTATCTGTACTTCTGTCATTAGATGAACATGCAAACTGAAATAACATTTTAGTTTTGTAAGAAAATCTAATGTAGGCAAAATTCACATTTGTCTACAGAACTAACATCTGGGAAGGAATCAGAAACATTTAAGCAGAACCATTTGATAAGAAGTAATTATATTTTACCAGAAATGATGACTTGGTTTTATTGAATTAACACTTAAAAAAACAAAAGAAGAGTTTTTTAAAAATATATTTTGAATCAAGTTGATTTTTCCACAAAAATGAAATCTAGTGAGGTTAAAACAAGGAAAAATATTTCAGTGGAGTAAGAAAAACTTAAAAAAAAAAAAAAATTCTCTAAAAACCATGGAACACATTTTCCACCAAACAAATAAATAAAATAAAACAAAACGGTAGTTGCAACTTTTTAATCTAACAATTCTTTATTTTTCACTTTTTAAATTTCACATCTTCCAGTTTTAACATCTTTTTTCTTCTTCTCTGAATTCTGAGTTTATATCTCTTTTAAGGGAGACATAATTATGTGGTATTACTTTTATTTATTTTTATTTTTTTAAATGGCAAGTTGCGAGATATCTCACAATTCTAAAATATAACACCTTCCAATTCAGACATTTTTTCATATTTCCTGAAAATATATAGTACAAAAATGTAAAGAAAATTATATTACACAATAATACACACACACGCACACACACACACACACACACACACACACACA